AGATAATGTTTTTGCTATTTTTTTTCTAAGTGTGCATTTGAATTCTCATCTTCCAGATAGTTCATTATTTAGCCCTATGTGCTTTGCATAGTTCTTTTTGCATTATGTTTTTCTTCTAAATATGTCTTTGAGCCCTCATCTTGTTTATAATGTGTTGTTTAATCCTATTTATTTTACATAGAGCTTTTGATACTATTTTATTTTGAGCATGCCTTTAAGCCTTCACTCTCTAAGTAATGCACTGTTTAGCCCCTTATCTCTTTTAGATAATGCTTTTAGCACTATTTTCTTTTAAGTGTGCTTTTGATCCATTACCTTTTAGATATTGAGTTGTTTAACCCCTATATTTTTTTAGATAGTGCTTTTAGCACTATTTTTTTGGACGTGTTTTTCAGCCTTTACCTTCTAGATAGTGTTTTGTCTATCTCTATCTCTTTTACATAGTGCTGTTAACATTATTTTCTTCTTAATACATCTATGAGCCCTCACCCCCAAGTAATGTGTTGTTTAGCCCTTATCTTTTTTAGATAATGCTTTTGACACTATTGTCTTCTGATTGTATCTTTGAACCCTTACCCTCATATTTCTTCTTGAATATCCCATCATTTTGAGAAGGATTAACAACTTCTTGATTTAGCAAATTCACATTCTTTTATCTTTTCTTCTTGAATATCCCATCATTTTGAGAAGGATTAACAACTTCTTGATTTAGCAAATTCACATTCTTTTATCTTTTCTTCTTGAATATCCCATCATTTTGAGAAGGATTAACAACTTCTTGATTTAGCAAATTCACATTCTTTTATCTTTTCTTCTTGAATATCCCATCATTTTGAGAAGGATTAACAACTTCTTGATTTAGCAAATTCACATCCTTTTATTTTTTCTTCTTTATAAGCTTATTACCTAACGTTTCTTACAAAACTTTCTATTGTAAGTATTGTAAAGAAAGAACAATTATCAGAACCCAATTTTAGGTTCTTTTAAAATTTTCTTTTTAAAAAAAAGTAAAAAGTGACTTGGTTGATAAGATCAAGCTAAAAAGAGATTCAAATACATAAATGAGGAGGAAAAACCTAAAAAATTTAAGACTGCAAAACCTAAAAATCCTTAGCCAAACCATTAACTAGTCAAGAAAAACAATAAGAAAACCTTTGATAGGCCACCATTACAAGTTTAAAGCTAGTTCAAAAATCTCTAGCCAAGAAGCAATTTTGTTGAACAAGATATATTCCAACTTTGATAAATGGAGGTAGTGCAATGAGTGCTCTCGCTTTCTATATTTTTTTTTTTAAAAAAATTATCGCTCAAAATATTTGTTAGGTATTCTTTGAAGTTAAAAAAACTGTATATGTGGATATATGGATTAATGTTAAAGCTGGTGATAGGTGGTGATGGTGGAGTGATATAGTGGTGATGGTAATATTAATAAATATTATGAGTTGAAGTACTTTTAATCTCAAGATAAGAATTAGTAAAATTTTCTCCTAATCAAAACTATTTAAAGATTGATTGGGAAAATATCTTTCGTATTTTTTACTATTTTTTACACATTAAAAAATAAAAATAAAAAAGTTATAGTCATTAGGGCTCTGTTTGTTTGCAGGAAAGTTGTTTCCTTTTGGAAAGTGAATTCTGGAGAAAGTGAATTCCGGAGAAAATGAATTCCTGAAAAGTAAAGTATTTTTCGATGTTTGGTAGTGTTATGGAAAATGAACTAGAAAACACTTTCCAGTATTTGGTTATGTTATGGAAAATGAACTGAAAAATAATTTAATAATATTTTATTTTTCTCAAGTTTATTAAAATAATAAGGAATAAATCTTAAAAATTAAAAAGTTGAATAATAATGAAATTGAAAAAAATAATTTCATAAATTATCTCAAATAAAATAAATAATAATCAAAATTATAAAGATCAAATCTAAATAAAAAAGATGAAGAAATTAAAATAATAATAATTAACATTTCATAAAGTATTTCAAATAAAATAAATAACAATCAAAAGAATGAGGACCAAATTTGATAGAAAAATTTTTTAATAAAAAAATAATAAGAGAAAAACAAATAACAATTATGAAAATGAGGACCAAAGTAAATATAAAAATTAAATTTTAAGAAATAAAATTAAAAAAATAAATATTCAAAACAAAATATATATAGCAATCAAAAATTTGAGGATCAAATTTGATATAATTAGCAAATAATGACATTTCTAAACTTGTCACAACTTTCAGAAAGTGTTTTCCTCCCAAATTTTTCAGGAAAACACTTTCTTGAAAATCAAGCTAAATTTTTTTTTGACTAGAAAGTGTTTTCCATTTACCAACTTTCCTAACAGCAAACAAACATAAGAAAGTTTGGAAAGTGATTTCCTAGAAATCACTTTCTGAAAAACAAACACAAGAAAGTTTGGAAAGTGTTTTCCTGAAAATCACTTTTCTGAAAACCAAGTTAATTTTTTTTTGACTAAAAAATATTTTTGTTGATCAGAAAGTGCTTTCTGTTGACCAGAAAGTGTCTTTCATTGACCGGAAAGTATTTTTCGTTGACTGAAAAGTGTTTTTTGTTGACTGAAAAATATTTTCTGTTGACCAATATTTCTAATAATAAACAAATATAGAAAAGTTTGAAAACTATTTTTTAAAAAATTATTTTTTAAAAAATAAATATGTCCTAGATTAAAAAAGAGTCAAGCAGCGTAGCGTATGCAGGTGACCGTCTGGTCCCTAAATGAATTTTATTTTCAAAATTCAAGATCCAACGATAATTCAACGATAAAAAAAAAAACCCGACTTTTGAACTCCGTGTAACCATTCTAACTTGACGGATTTGCCGGTTCTTGATGATAATTAGACTCTTTGTCGCATGCAGCGGATCTTTTACACCCCTACTGCTAGAGGCTGTTGAGAAAGTACGTCCTGTTTTGACCATCAATGGGATTTCATTCTTCCAATCTAGAATAGAGCTAGTTTTCCAGTTTAGGAGTTCTGTCCCAGGTTGCCTAGCTAGCTTTCGTCTTCCTTTCCCTTGTCCTCTACTGGAAAAGTGTGATTTTGGATCCTGATTATGGAGACATCCATCCTAGCCAACACCCCGAGTATATTTGTTTAATTAATTATTATTAGTGGAGTAGCATTATATATAGATTGATGGGAAGTCATCATTTTGGCTGTGATCAAAGTACTTGTTGGACTTCTGGTGTGATTAAATTAAGTAATCTGCAACAAAATGATCACAAGCAGGTCCTTCTGATTTGGTAGTGATTTTTTTTTTTGTTGTGTGTGATCCCGTAACATGTGATGGTAGGACTATCACATTAATTTCTGTTTTTTGATATTCAAATTAAATAGTTTAGGTACTGTAACGGTAGAATTGAAAAATAAAAGAGAGGAGAAGAAAATCGAGAGAGAAAAAGAGAAGAAGAGGTAACAGAGCAGCCTGTGTTCTTTCTTCGATTTCTAGCTCGTTCACCGTTGAATCGGGTTGAGACTTTGACAGCAGCTTCTAGATACGTTACTCTTCATTCTGGACGGTTGAATCGAATATTGGTGGTATGGAAGCTGACCGTTTTGATAGAAAACAGAGCTATCAGTATTGTGAGTTTTTCTCAAATAATTCTCCTTTAATCTTGTTGTAATCCGAGAATAAATTGTTCTTAATGATATATATATTGTATCCCTTAGTTGAATCTAAGGAAGAATGATTGTGAACTCATTATTTGTTGATAGTGGAAGTTTTTAGGTGAACTATGGTCCCATGGTTTTTCCCACATCGGGTTTTCTACGTTAAAATCTTAGTGTTAATTTTGTAATTATTTGTATTATATTTGGTTATTATTTGATTCTGTTTTACTATATAAAAAAAAATTAAAACTTATAAATTATAAATTATATTCTATTGAAATGATCTGGGTAAAATTAATATCCAATTATTTCTAGTTTTTCCCAACACTCCTGCATTTTCTTTGAAAGAATTTGGAATGCATCTTTTGCCCCTTTCTCAGAGCTGGGTGCTCCTCTCTTTTTTAATTTTTACTTTGTAATGATTGACCTTGTCTTTATATGAATAAAGAAAAAGAAAAAGGGTAAGGGAAAGGCTTGCTCATCTTCTCGAGACACACCTGGCTCTTAAGGAGAAAAAAATGATACATGTCCTTTTACGTGCACGACAAGTCTTCGAAATATTTTTTAGCTCCATTTCGAAACGTGGACTAAGACTTCGGAGGGGCTAATGATTGGTGTATGCAGAATCGTACTTCAACCTCCTGGAAACAGACTTTTCTCAAGACGAGAATAAAATTTTGTTCATTTTTTCCAGCCCGGAAGCATAGCACTTCTCTTTCAACAATTCAGGGTACTTGGAAATCTCTTATATATCCAGAGATATTTTCTCAGTTTTCTCATTGGAAAGTACGTAGTGGCTTCATTTCTTACAATATTTTATGGAATTAAATAGTTGGTGGAACAACGACTGCATTGTTTGTTTGTTGCTAGTTTTCATAAAATACAATTTGGGAGATCATAGGCGCGTTGGCATCAAAACAGCGATGAATGTTCGCAAATGCATTTTATATTCATAGTTTGTTGCAATTGGTCCAGATGCAGGCTAACGATTGGTGCCATTTTTTCCCATCAATTGAGGTCAATCTTCACCATTCCACCTTCGAGTGCAAGATTTGTATGCTTCTTCATTAACTCTTTACAGCTCCAGCTCCTTGCAGCACAACCTCTGCCACTTTCTTGTTCTTGTTAGCTATTTCTTGCCAACCAATTGTAAAGGCATTTATAGCGAATCTTTCCTTGCTAATCAAACAAAAAATACGAAAAAGAAAAAAAAACAATTATAGTTGGGGTTTTCATCTCCCAATCAACCAGTAAATCAAATGACAGAAGCTATTTTGTTCAGTATTACTGACAGAATCTTGGGAAAACTAGGGAACCTGGCCCTGCAAGAGATAGGACTGATATGGGGTGTTAAGGACGAGCTTGAAAAACTAAGGAATACTGCTTCCGTTATCAAAGCAATATTTCTTGATGCAGAAGAGCAGCAAACAAAAAGCCATGAGGTTAGAGATTGGCTCCGAAAGCTTAAAGATGCAATTTATGATGCAGATGATTTGCTGGATGATTTCTCCACGGAAATGTTGCAACAGCAGCTGATGATGCAGGATAAGAAGGCGATAGAGGTATGTGCTTTCTTTTCGAAGATAAAAAAGACTGCATATGGTTTTAGCATGTCTTCTAAGATTAAGGCAATTAGGGAGAGACTGAATGACATAGCTTCAGACAGAAGCAAATTCCATTTGACAGACCACCCCAGACACATGCGTAGTGTTAGTGCAGAGAGGGAGCAGACTCATTCTTTTGTTTGCGTTGAAGAAGTTGTGGGGAGAGAGGATGATAAATTGGCCATTGTAGAATTGTTGTTGCACTCTAACGCTGAGGAGAATGTTTCTGTTATACCAATAGTTGGCATTGGGGGGCTAGGAAAGACTACTCTTGTGCAGCTCGTTTACAATTCTGAGAAAATACGAAGGCATTTTGAGCTAAGAATTTGGGTGTGTGTTTCTGATGTTTTTGATGTGAAGTTAATAGTTCAAAAAATTGTAGAATCTGCAACTAATACTAAGTGTGATGGCCTTGAAATGGATTCCTTGTTAACTCGTCTTGGAAAAGAAATAGATGGCAAGAAATTTTTGCTTATTTTGGATGATGTATGGAATGATAACCGTGAGAGATGGCTAAAACTGAGGGATCTGTTAATGGGTGGCGCAAGGGGGAGTAAGGTTGTGGTGACGACACGCACTCAGTTGATCGCTACAATTACTGGCACAGCTAAACCATACTTCCTCAGAAGTCTTTCTGAAGATGAGTCGTGGTCTTTGTTTGAGAAATTAGCTTTTAAACAAGGGAAAGAATTTGAGAATACAAGACTTGTAGCAATCGGAAAGGAGGTTGTTAAAAAATGTGCGGGAGTTCCCCTGGCCATCAGGACTATGGGAAGCCTTCTTTATTGCAAGGATACTGAAACTGAGTGGCTCTCTTTTAAAGACAGAGATCTTTCCATGATACCTCAAAATGAGAATGACATATTACCGATATTGAAGTTGAGCTATGAGCTACTTCCGCCATGCTTGAAGAATTGCTTTGCTTACTGTTCCTTGTTCCCAAAGGGCTACGAAATGAATAAGCAAACACTGATAAAACTCTGGATGGCACAAGGTTTTCTGCAGCCAGCCGATGGAATGCAACATCTTGAGGAAGTAGGTCATCAGTGTTTCATGGATTTAGCTCGGCGATCCTTCTTCCAAGATTTAGAGTATGGTGAATGGGGTGATGTGGTGAGTTGCAGAATGCACGATCTGATGCATGACCTTGCCCTATTAGTTGGTGGAAGTGAGAGCTCTGCAGTCGATTCTAATGCAGAAAATATATGTGAAGGAATTCGTCATGTATCCCTTGACTTTAAATTAGATTCATCGCAGAAAATCCCCCCCTCTTTGTTCAAAGCAAACAAAATTCGGACATTGGTGCTACCTGTGCAACCAGTATATCGTAAAATACTGAACCAGGCTCCCCATGATACAATTATTTCCAGTTTCAGGTGCTTGCGTGCATTAGATTTCCATAACACAGGGGTTGACATTGTGCCTAGTTCAATCAGTAAGTTGAAGCATTTGCGGTATCTTGATCTCTCTAAGAATGAAGATCTAAAAAGACTCCCCCGTTGCATTACCAAACTGAAGAATTTGCAGACACTCAAACTCTCTTCCTGCAAAAGGTTAGAAGCATTGCCAAGACATATCAGTAAAATGATCAGTCTTAGGCATCTTGAGATTGACCATTGTACTGGTTTGACGCACATGCCAAATGGTCTGGGGCAACTAACTGCTCTTCAGACATTATCACAATTTGTAGCTGGCAAGTATGGCACCTCCCCTGATCTCAGTGCACGCCTGCGGGAATTAAATGGCCTAAACGACCTACGAGGAGAGTTAAAAATTTCAAAGCTGGAAAAATTGAAGGTTTCTGCAACGGAATCAAGGGAAGCGAATTTGAAGGGAAAAGAGAACTTAGAGGTCTTGAGATTAGAATGGAACAGAGGAGTTGATGACGACAGAGTTATTGATGAAGATGAAGTGCTGCTAGAAAGCTTTCAGCCACATTCTAATCTTAAGGAGTTTCACATTTACGGGTATAGAGCTGGAAAGTTTCCAAGTTGGATGATGCTTAACTTGTCTTTATTGCTCCCGAATCTTCAGGAGATCATCATATGGAGGTGTTACAGATGCTTAGAACTCCCGATGTTTAGTCAGCTACCTATGCTCAAGGTTCTGAAACTTGAAGAGGTTACGGCTTTGGAGTACATCGAGAATAGCAGCAATGGGTCTTCTTCATTGTTTTCAGTCAGGGGCAATCTGTCCATGAGAGGAAAAAGAGAAGAAAAATCGGCATTGTTCTTCCCAAGCCTACAGGAACTTCGACTCTTTGACTTGCGTGATTTTAAGGGATGGTGGAGGGAAGAAGTTTCTGTGGTTAACAATGATGAAGCAACAGTAGAAATGACAGCAGAAACAGAAGGAATATCTCTTCCATCAGTAGCAGCCTGTGAGGAGAAGCAACAGCCACTACAGCAGCAGCTAGTTCTGCCGTCATTTCCTTGCCTTTCAAAATTAACCATTGGCCACTGTCCAAATCTATCAAACTTGCCATTGCATCCATTTCTTAATGAAGTGGAGTTCAAGGATGTAAATGCTGGGCTGGTGCAGTGGTCAATGGTGGGTCTTGCTTCAATAGAAGGGAGTTCGGCATCAGGAAGAAACACTTCACTTCCTTCCTTCCCCTCCACTCCAGAACTGAAGCATTTGTGTATTGACAGCGTCATGGATCTTGTTTCAATGTCAGAGCTGGGACTCCAAAACTTCACTTACCTTGAGCATCTAACCATAGAGAACTGTCCAAATCTGTCATCTCTGCCAGAGGAAAGTTTAGGGGGTTTAAGGTCACTCCGATCTCTCTCCATTAGTGGCTGTGGAAGCCTAACGTCACTGTCCCCGGGATTGCAATATCTCACATCCCTCGAAGAGCTTGAAATCAAAGAGTGCAGAGCACTTGATATGTCAGATTGCGATGAAGAGAACAGCTTGCAATTTCGAGGACTGAAGAGCCTTCGGAGACTGAAAATCGGATATATGCCACAATTAGAATCTATACCGGATGGAATTCATGAAGTTACATCGTTGCAAGATTTAAAGATTGAAGGCTGCGTTGGCTTGAAGACTTTGCCAGAGTGGATTCATGAACTCAAATTACTTCAAAGGCTTGACATTTCTGATTGTCCCGAGCTCACTTCTCTACCACAGGGTTGCATGAAAGCATTGCAAATTTTGGAAATCTACAACTGTCCCAAGTTGCTGAGAGTATGTGAAACGAGAACAAGCATGGACTGGTCTTTTATTACCCACATCCCTCATGTCTATATTGACCGGAAAAAGATCACGATACATGCTGCTGATATCTCAAGCTAGTAAGGGTTGCTGTTTCATTTTGCAGGCCTGCTCGTCTTCTTTATCATTAATTCTTTATAAACTGCCCTAGCTATCCCTTACTTTGTTGGTTGTTGTTCAAGATACAACAGTTTGGCGTATTCTTAAGCTTTAGTCACTCGATTAGTTGTACTAGATCTGAGTGCAGATGAGCCTTTTACTTAAAGGTCCTGAAAGTACTTGACACTGTTCATGCCACGCTTGCTGATTATTTGTTCCTGCTGCTAAGAAATTAACCTTTACTTAGAATTTGAAGTTATCATCCATGGAAAGAAGTATTTTAAGTTATCATGAAAGCCTTTTGGGGTTGCTTGCAACGTCCTATTTAAAAATTCAGAGTCAAATATGGATCACCTACGGAATTAGAAGTTTTTTAATCTATCACAGAGTTTTTTTTTTTAATTCATTTATGTTTATTCCTTAATTAAATTGAGCCAAGTCAATTTACATACCTACGAGGTCTTGGGACAGGTCATCTCCTTAGCTGTGTCCAGCAACCATGTTTCAGAAACGAAAAGGAATAAAGAAAAGCTGAGGCACAATGAGGTCAAATTTCGCTTTACAACTATCCTTGAAAAGCTCCTTACACATTTCTTACAGATGAAAAGGCGCAATAATCGAGTGGGTTGTCTATGTTAGCCCAACAGGCAACTGGGGAGAAGTTCCATGAAATTGTTGCCTTTTCTGACCAGAGGTGATTCTTTACTGTTCGTTTTGGGTTATTTTAGATTGTTTTTTTTTTAATTTTTTTAATTTGATTAGGTTTATTTTTAACTAAATTAGTTCGATTCAGGTTTTTTGGTTCTAAATTTATAGAACCAAAACCAAAATAAATATTTTTTTAAAATATTATAATAAATTTAATCAAGTATTTTTTATAATTTAATTGGTTTTCTTGCTCATCCCTCATCCTCACTCCAGAGGCTCCCGATTGAAATAGCAGAAGCAAGGGACGACGTGCTACGAAGTATCTCCTATGAAGATGCTCCTTAAGGTCTAACCCTGATGTTCTTAGCAGTCAGAATGTCCAAAAGGAACCGAAACCACATTAAAATTAAGCATTAAAATTTATTAATCACAGGTATTTGTAAGATTTATAGCATGCCATCAGCACAGTCTGTGAAATCATCATCCTCGTAAGATGCTTTCAATTTCTTGACCGAATGCAGTAGCTAAAAAGCAAGGGATATAGAGGCTCTGCTACATGCCCAAAAACGATGTAAAGGTTCAATTGTTAAGCAAAACGGCAATCACTTTGATGGCTTAAACGATCTTGCTATGGTTTTGTCAGCAGCTTGAGATCCCAAATATGACAATCAATTACAAATGGATCTGTAGATGAGGTCCTTCGTCATGGTTTCTCACAAAAAAAAAAAAAAATCCCAGCAAAACTTGAATGAACACCAAAGAATAACCATGCTTCATCAATAAACTTCTGCTCATCACCATTAAAGGTGAAAACCTTTCTTCTTTTGCCTCTCTATGGGGCCAAAAATTTAAGTTGCATATAGTAAATTTTACAATGTCTGAATAATTCAAGCAATTTATACACCAAGTTTGTTTGTATTTGCCAGTTCTTTCAGAAGATGTAATTCCTTTAAGATCATCAAGGAAGAACGGCTAAAGATAAGAGGAAATTAGAGGAAGGAAACGTTGTTCATCCACGTGCAATGAATGTCAATGTTCTTGTCCCTTCTTCTTGCTTGGAGGGTTCGTACTTAAAATCACAGTTGAGTGCTCACAGCTAAAGCAAAAATATCTGCAGCAGTACTGTAGCAAATACACGAGAAACAGGTTTATGCTCTACTTCAATTATTAATTCCATTTGGGGTCACATCCACCTTTTTTATTCTTTGATTTTTCTTAGGATAGGTTTTTGTTCTGTCTGATTGTCTATGATCTTAATCTCTTCCATCAAAATTCCAACATTTTAATCAGATTAAATTGAAAATCTCACTAAAGTTGATCGTGGCGGGATCGAGGCGCCATGGACATGTAATATAAGACCTTCCCATCAAGATAGATCAGAAACTTTTAGATAATGAAAATCTAATCTGTTATAAAGTATACTAAGAGTTTCGGTCAATGGGATTTGATCTCAAACTTATTTTTATTCTAATTTACATCTTAAACTTTATTTTTTATCGGCAATATCATCCTTCCGTTAGTGAATGTAGGAGATTTACATTTAAGAAAAAAAAAAAACTGGTAAGAAATTCTTGTGTAAATCATATGATTCACTAAAATAAAATCAAAGAATCCCCTTCTCATCAGCACGAACTTGACAAGAATATCAAGTATCGCCACCTAGTTGAAAACAATGCCAGCCACCTAACACAAAACCACAAATAATTTTGATGATTGAGCAGACATTATGCTATTGATCACTTGATGATATTCTTATCAATATGTTTTTTGTTCTTTGTTTTTTCCTTTTAAAGGGGTGAAACTACGTTAATTAAAAATAAGATTTCAAGAGAAGACAAAAAGTAGCTTCGTGAATTAACAGGAGTCTACTTGTAAAGTTTGACAAGCTCAACAATCATGGCTAAGGCCGAAGAATTAAAGAAGAAGATAAAAACAAACAAAGAAGCAGCTAGAATGTACAGAGAAAAAGGGTAAAGAGGAGCAATAACGGAAAGAGATAAATAGCAGACAAGCTTGTGAATAAAATTTTGTATATGAGATAAGCATTGTTTCAGGCAACTAGATATCCTTTTTATATTGTTATAAAGTTGGAGTTTCACATAAACTTCTAATATTGTTTATAGCCAGAAAAAAAGTTTATATTATGAATTTTAATAGAATTTACATTTCTAATAGCGCATCTCCTTTGGAGACAATCTCATGTCTCCCAACTAATTTTTAATAATTTTTAATATATTATGCTAAAGATTTTTATTTGGAATAAAACTTGGTTTTTTAGTCATTCATGTTAATTTTTATCTTTATAATAAATTATTTTTTTCTAGTTGATTATGAGTTTTACTTTTACCGGTTGATTGTCTTCTATCTTTTCTAATCAACTTAAACTTTTTTTCAGCCTAATTCATTTTACTTTTTCTTGTTTGGTAGTAAACAACTATTATTCTTATTTGATTAATATATAAATTTGAATTTTTGCATAAACAATGCCCTTTATATATTTTTTTTTAATTTAAGATAAATGAAAGAATATTGACTTGCCCTGTTATTAAATCTATCAACAAAATGACCATTGATAATGTGATAAATTAAACACTATTTTTTTTTTAAATATCAACCATGATTAGCTTTGTAACTTGTTAACCAACTAAGCAATTTCAAAATAAAATGTTGTTTGGTTTAGAAGCAATACTTAAAGTGGTTAGCTCTTACCTTTTCTTGTTTAGCTTATGTTTAAATAATTTATATAGATTTTCTTTTTATTTTCATGATGACCTTTCTAAATATTTTCTTAGAAACTTGCCTCTTGAGTTGTTTATGTTTTAAAACGACTATAGATAAATATGGTAGTATTTGAATTTAAATTTTTTTTAGTTTTTTTGCCAAGGTTGTTTATTATAGAACAAGTCTATCGTAAGTTGAAATCGACCATTGTGCATTGTTATTTACCTATTTTTGTGTTGGATTATGTTTGATCTTATTTTCTATTGATCATGTGTGTAGTTGGTCATCAATACCATATATTAGTAATTTAATAGGTGCCTTTTATTTTGCTTTTTGACATAAAGGACTTTTTTTTTCCTCTTCATAGATATATGTTTGGTATGGTGTATTGTTTAGTATCATCTTTTTTCATCAATATATTCAGTTGACATATCCTTCTAAACCATGACTTGGTTAATCGATCTTTTTTCAATGTTTTTTTTGTAGGTTTTAAAGATATTGATGTTTCGTAACCAAACCATAATCCTCATCACTAGATTTGAGTCATTTATGTTATGGCTAATGGTTATGCCACTCAATATCAATAAGTCTTTCTAACCTCTGTTGCTAAATTATAACTTGTTCAGTTTCCCTCATAAATCTTCTTTTTTAGAAAGGATGGTATGATAAGTAGAACACCTATAAACCTCACAATAAGGCATTTCCTAAACTTTTTATGGCAATTTCTTGGCTTTTTCATGATTGATATATTTTTTTTCAATAACAGCACCCATGACTAATTATATCCTTTATCACGGGCCAATCAAGACTTATCCTTTTTGCTTAAGGATAGATACAATCACTATCATATTAGAAAATGGGTCAATATCCACCTTCATCTTCTTTGGTGTCATGTCTCTATGAGTTATGCTATTTATAATATTTCTTCCCTTTGATTTGATCTAAAGTGAGGATTGTATGATTTATAAGAACCTTTATTTGTTCCTATGCATCAATTAGTTAAAAACCTTTTTAATTATTTTGATGTCAAAATAATATTTTGGCTAAGTTAGCCAATGTTACTTATGGTTTTGTTTTATAGAAGTTCTTATAAAATTGGCTCTCCATCTCTTTCTAACTACTAATGGAATTGGATGGTAGCATAAAAAACCAATAAAATACAATCATAGTAAGCAATTAACTGGACAACTTGAGTTGTATAAGGAAATTATTTTCACATCATCACATTGATTAGTAAATTTAGCTATGTGTTCTCTTGTTAACTAGTTATTATCTCTAGAAAATTGTTTGAAGTCAGCTATCTTGATGCCTACAGGAATTGGATGTAATATTTTAAAATTATAGATGATAATATGTAAACCCAGTTGTATGTCTAATTTTTAACCCCATCTTTTTTAAATATTGAGTCAACTCAACCATATCATTTTTTTTTCTTGTTAATCAATAAAAAGTGTTTATGGTACATAAGGATTAAGGTTTTCTTGTTAAAATTAGCCTAAAAAATAATCATTATGATCTATCAAACACCAATTTATTGATCAATCATTGACTTCTCAAAAAATATACTATATATTCTTCATTCCTTCCTTCCAATAAAGAGAAACTATAATTAGAAACTGAATTCCAAATAGAGATAGATAATGACACGACAAAAGATTGATGTCTTCTTCCAAGTGCAAGAGTGTCAAAGTAATAAATAACCCGGCAAAACCGGGGTCGAACCACAAGAAGGTTAATTGTATAAATTATAAATAACAATAACACAACAATAACAATAACAACAACAACAACAACAACAACAACAACAACAACAACAATAATAATAATAATAATAATAATAATAATAATAATAGAAGAAGAAGAAGAAGATGAAAGATCAGTGTAAGGATTGAACAATAATAACAACAAATGTCTAGGTTAGAGGATC